TGGTTATTTTCACTCACCGTCTATAGCCGGTTGTGGGTATGTTAGGGGTATGTTAGTTATCCATAAAAATCAGATATTAAAACACCCTTGATTTCTATCATACATCATCCAACCTTCTGCTCAGTATATTTACTCCGATATTAAATTATTAAAATATACAACCTTGCCGTATGTTTTAAGTAACAATATTGACACTTTGTCACTGCAAGTTATTAATAACTATTCAATATAGTAATACTTCAAATAATATTTCAGTTAATGTTTTTATTATTAACTATAAACCCACCTATATAATTCTGGTATCCCTTCCTCCTCCCCCTTCTAATGACATGACTTTCAAGTATAATTGGGTAAACTAGGCCAGGCCCAGTTGCCTAAAGTTGGTCTTTCCGACCCAGAAATACTGAAAGTATTATAAAGTTAACGCTAGTCTTTATAATAAGATTTTATATGCTAGCGACCTCTTATTAATTTAATATTTCAAGTTAGAAATAATCGTACTCAAGTTGTTTATAAATGATTTACTTTCTAATAATTTATTAAATTAATTATAAAATAATTTAAAGACTTTATTAATTTCATAATTATTATAACCATTCAATAGAAGTTTATCTTTTAACAATTCTACGTTATATACGTTTTTATTTTAATTTGAGAAGTAATTATACCTTTTAACATTGTAGGTGGCACCACAATATTTGGGGAAGGCAATCCTAGGATAAAAAAATTAAATTTACTTCTTTTATCCGATATGTTTGTTTTTGTTTGTTTTTAATTATGCACAAAGCTACACAAGGGCTATCTGTGCTCTGCCCACCACGGGTATCGAAACCCGGATTCTAGCGTTGTAAGTCCGCAGACATGCCGCTGTGCCACTGGGGGGCTATCCGATATGTCCAACTGCACTTGATTTTCTGACAGATTAATATCTAGATCTAAATAGTGAAACTAATTCTTTTCATAATTATGTTATTACTGGTGATTTGAATGTGATCAAAGATATCGATCTTATAAACATTCTAAAGAAAGGAACTAAATCTAGAATCGTAAATAAAACTACAAAGAATGAAATAATACAAAATATAGAAAAAAAAATATTGATGAATATATTATAAAAAATTAGTAAAAAATTTTTATACTCTCAAGATTTTTCTTTGAATGGAAAATATTTATTATAAATAACATAAGAGAGAAATTAAAGTATTTAAATTTATCTAATTATACTATAGATATTCATTTTCATATCTTTAAAATAAACTTCAAAAACTATTTGTGATGAATCCATTTGATAAAGCTAATTAATACAACAAAAACTTTTACTGAGTTTACCTCAGATAAATTTAATATTTTCTGAAATAAAACAGAAATCTCTAAGTATTTCGCAAAAAAAAAACAATACAGGGGTATTGGAATACTTAGAATTTTTAAATTCTTCGAGCTCAGCCTTTTCTGTTCTGACATATGATTTTACTGGACTGTATATCAAATTAAATGTAAAAGATTTAATAAAAGTCTTTAATAGCTTAATAGATGAACTTATAGTTGAAATATAGTTATTTCTAAGTATAAAGTTTCAAGTTTACAATGTAAAGACTTTCCAAATTTTTGTATATTTAATAATTATATGACCTTTAAGGATAAAATGTGACAGATATTAGTGAATTACCACAAGATTGTCAATGTCCAGTAACGAATAATCTGATATAATACTTTTCTGTTTATTAAATAAGTTACTTTACCTGCTTGTCTTTAATCACGAACTTTGTCTTTTTGTCTTTTCGTTACAGATCTGTAAAACAGGACGCGCATGTGATACCGTAAGTATGTGAGACCAAATATAAAGTTTAATAGTTTGTTCTCAGAGGAAACCTCGAATAATATTAGTTACCACGACGACCAAGATATTGTTATGTTTTTGTTTGTTTGTTTGTTTGTTTAATTATGCACAAAGCTACACAAGGGCTATCTGTGCTCTGCCCACCACGGGTATCGAAACCCGGTTTCTAGCGTTGTAAGTCCGGAGACATACCGCTGTGCTACTGGGGCTATTGTTATGTTATCAGTCAATTACGGCCATAAACAGATAATCAAACTTTGGAAAGGTGTGTTCCATAAGTCAGCCGGATAACAATAGGAAACGGTTGTTGTTAAGCCATTTATAGAATAAAAGCTGAATGCCTGTCATAAGACGGGAAATAGTGATTATTTTTATTTCTCAAAATTATATCTAAATAAATGTTTTCTAAAAATTAATTATAATCTAATAATGATATATGTATGGAGTATGACTATCGTCTTTCTATTATTTTACAAAATCAATTTTTTTTATGTATATTTGATCATCTCCTTTAAGTATTGCTTTCAAAACTGAAATGTGCTGCGGGTTATTATAGAGTTGTAGCCGAGGATTACGATTGGACAAAATTTGGTGAAGTTGGGTCAATGTGTCTCCTTGACAACTAAGCAAACGTTAACGGAGGAATTTCAATTAATTATTATGATTTTTATTGGTGATATTGCGTCAATGTAATGTAGGAATTTCTGCCAACCTATCCTAAAATCTAATCATATGGCCAAAATAGCGCTTCGTCCGTTTGGCTGGGAGAGATTTAAAAAGACAAACTTTTTTGCCGCGGCAGAAAGGGCCGTGGTTTATTTGTTTAATACTAATGAACGTTATTCTTCCTGAAAAACTATGGAGTCTACTTTAACTATCAATTGTTAGCCTTAAAATAAAAATTTTATAGTTTATAAAGCTAATAAGAACTGAAAGTAAAGCCTTTAGTACCTATAATTCAATTAACTAATATATCTAGTTTTTATCAGTTCTATTGAGTTTATTTTAATCGGCGGCCAATGTTGAACTTGGTGTTATTGCTAAGGAATGATACCTGTTAAATTTGAAACCAGAAAGCTTAACAAAGGCAGAAAATTTGCTTAATCCACTAGATAAGTCCGGTTTAAGGGTAGACTAAGTATATTATACAGATAAACCTATCAGCGGAAATCTTTCCCCCCCTTCATCAAAGCTAAGTTTACATTTGAATCACAAGATAAATATGTGCATAAACAACTTTCAGCTATCAAATGGATTGCGATTATCAACTAAACAATAAAAACTTGTCGTGTAAACGTCGTAGCTTCTAATGCTGCGTATATTAATAACGCTTCTCATCGTCCAGCCCAACGGAAGAGTTTTGGCATTAGACGAAAGGCCGCTTGGGCAGCGAATTGTGGAAGTCAGAAGAATAATATGAGATTCAATTTCTACATGGCTCTGAATCTGAAACCGTAATGGATAAACGGATGTAAAAGAAACAAAATATACGGTTAAAATTATTTTTATAACTAAACATTGTGAGATTCCATTCAACTTAGCTATATTTGACAGATATGTTTATATAATTTAAGGCACATCATACGACTGAGGCTCAGCTACCACTAAGTTAGAACTGCTGGCCACAAGGAGGACAACCAGTCAGCAGCGCCCCCACATGGCACTATTCTTAACTGAAAAGTAGAATTTACTGCCACGGTTATGCCGCCTACATAATTGAATGTGTGCCGAGACATTAAACTCAGGATCAGGGCCTAGCTTTGTGGTTGAGTTCTGGATTTCGGAGCTGGTGACCCGGATCCTAATTTGTGCGATACCACAAAATATTCCCAAATTTAAGTTGTGCGCACGTTATAAGCGTGAAGGTTAATTAATAACTGTAGGAAGCTCAGAGTAAATTATCCAGGACATTGTGTTTAATAACTGTAGGAAGCTCCCAGTAAATTATCCAGGACATTGTATTTAATAACTGTAGGAAGCTTATAGTAAATTATCCAGGACATTGCATTTAATAACTGTAGGAAGCTTATAGTAAATTATCCAGGACATTGTATTTAATAACTGTAGGAAGCTTATAGTAAATTATCCAGGACATTGCATTTAATAACTGTAGGAAGCTTATAGTAAATTATCCAGGACATTGTAGTTAATAACTGTAGAAAGCTTATAGTAAATTATCCAGGACATTGCATTTAATAACTGTAGGAAGCTTATAGTAAATTATCC